ATATATATATATATATATATAATGTTAACATCACAAAAGATAATGCTGAAAAAAGTAAGAGCAGGATCTGGGTACTGCTCCTAAGAGATATGAGAAAAGATTGAGTGCTATGTCCTTCGTAAGAATATTTCATCAAGGGGTAAATAGAGATGATAGGATTTTGGGACCAAAAGAAAGCCTATAACATCTGTTTGAATGGTAGAGCTGCACAAGAGTTATGAATTCTATGTGGGGAAATATAAAGCCGAAAACCAATATGCTTTAACGAGTAAAATTCCAGGATCAAACTACTATGGCACCTGAATATGTGTTCTTCGGATGACTACCAAAACCTAAATAACCGACCTACTAGATGAATCAAAGGGTAGAAGAAGGGGACAATTATACCAGGAGCAGCCCGGTTTGGGGGCGCCGCATGTTGGCTAGCCGGTGGACCGAAGAACTCCTCCTCTACACCTCCACAGCACAGCATATTGAGAGAGTCTTGCGTGGGTGCTAATTATCCTCCCTGAGCGGGTGGCCTGGAAGCACCAAATTCTCCCCCTAACAAACACACGAAGAAAATTTCTAAGTAGGGTTCTCCAAAATCATCAAGCAAGCATCAAAGAACCCCGAGAAAACATGAATCAAAGCTCAAATATTTTCCGATTCAACTCATATGGTGTTCGAAGAAAGAAAGAAAACAGAAGAGAACATGCTTCAACGAGGGAACGAGAAAGAAAGATGCGGACCGGGATCCAAGATCAGCGAAGAAGGCTAGCCATCTCCTGATGGGAACGTGTAAAGGGGAAGACTCCGCCCGCCTGATGAGAGGAGAGTACAGAAGAATATGAGGCGGGAGGAGCGGGGCAAAGGAGAGGCAGGACGGACGAGAGGAAGAAGGAGAGGGAGAGGATGATGGCGTGGTTGGTGAGGCGAGGAGGACGAGTTTCGCGGGAAAAGCGGGCCAGTTAAAATAGACAACGAAAATACAATTAAAAAAATGAAAAAGGAGCCCAAACCAAAATAGAACGTGCTTTCACGTTTGTCTTTTAAATAATAATAATAATAATAATAATATAAATACAATTACTAGTGATTTATATTTCCTGCATGTTTGTTACATTGAGCAGTTTGCTTGAAATCTCACGAGGCACGTCGCCCACCGCCCCAGTGTTCCGTCCCATGTTTCTGTGTTGGCCCAAGAAGAAGTAGAATTCGTCAGCATCGGCTCGTCATTGATGGTTTACGCTTTCGTCCATGGCCGACCCATATCGTTACGGTGCTCCGGTGACAAAATAGACGAAAAAAATGGATAAGACAGCATCAAACAGGTTATGTGACGGTCACCTGCTTGGCAAACTTGCAGAGTGAACCTTACCATCGGATCAAACAGCAAATACGACATGCTTGAATGCAGTATTCCAGTAGTTGCTTCATACACTGAATGATGATTCGAGTAGATACTGCTACGTGACCCTGAAATTTAGTACAAAACCCAATTGCTTAGCACTAAAGAGATGATTTAAACAAATTATGAAGCCTAGACGTTTCTTTTGGAAAAAAAAAAATCCTGTTACGTTTATGTCATACAATTCCTTCAATTTTTAGAATCCTCGGATAATACATCTGAAGAAGGCAGTTTAAATGGGGGCTGGCACGCAGCAGTGAGTTTGAACACTAGTGTACAACACATCAAATCTTCTCCCTCATCCCACTTCAAGCTTAAAACTCAAATTAAGTACTTACACATCTTCAACATGGATCAGCTATCCGGGTATAGAGTCTCTCATGCCGGCGTGGGATAAAAGGAAAGATATAGCTGGTGGGATAAGCCAATTTTCGGATTGTAGCAGACCCCTAATTGCCAACCAATTTCATGGAGCAGTCTCATTTCGGCCAAGCTCACTTGGGGGAGGTAGGAGTAGGGCGAGTCTCTGTTTGCACCGTTCAATCCTCCGAAGACGTTCCTTTCGCAATCTGCATCAAATGAAAAAGAAGGAAATACGATAGGTTATCAACTTGCCATATCGGGTGTCAAATTGCCACACAAGGATGTCCTGCTGCAAGGCAATATGCATTTTCTCCAAGTACACCCCGCATGGAAATTGAGCAAGTTCTTGCTTTCTCGACTTTATGTTTTCTGGAAATAAAACCCATAAGAGAAAAGGCTAAGAGATAACATGAAGATCAAAAAATTTCACGACCATTGATTCTTTCTCGTCACCATAATTGAACATCAAAGTCCATGCATATAAAACACCAACAGGCTCTTCCAAATAATCCTTCGCCTCAGAACAACTTTTCCATTTCAACAGTCTTGCCGACAAATTTAATAATAAGAATGAAAACCTCAAATTGGCAGCAGATAACAAAAATATAGAAGGTTAAAATAAATAGATAGAACAAAGTGTAATAGGAAGCATACCGTGCCCGAACACTTTTTGCATGCTTTATATGTATTTCTAGCAAATCACGTTCAGATAACTCCTCAACAGAACCTACAGGCTGCAAGTTAAATCATATATGTCAGAACAAGTTCCTTTGACATTATAATTCCAAAATTCTGGTCAACAGCAAAGAAAAGTCATTCAGTTAGCAAGAAAATGAAAGCAGACAAACAAAGCAGCTAAAAAGGCACTAGGAAAGAAAAGGAATACAGGATCAGATTTCAAGTTTAGTAAAACGATTGCTTAGGATAGGTATATATTGTCTTATTTCTAGCTGTGTAACCACTCCTTTCTAGAGCCTAATGATATGGTTTATCAAGCAAAGTAGGAATGGTTACAAGAAGATATTAAAATAAATAGATTTATGAATATCTAAGTAAAACTTTCAATGCAAGGGATATAGCTTCTTGATCACTTGTAAATTGGCATCTTATTACCAAATATACAAAGAGAATTGTCAAAACCAAACTGTCTGAAACATCTGGTTGTAAACCATGTTTGATCAAGATTACAAATACAAGGCACGAGATACAAAGTCAATGATATTATTACACAAACAAACTTCCTGCTTTCCTTTCAATAATCACCGGTTAACAAAGCAATGTATCTTTACACCACTGCTTAGATAGAAATCAAATGTCTCAGACTTTCTATCAATAATCTCTGAACGCCGATGATGATTGTTTAAATCTACAACCATGGTGTAATCACTGTTCATGTGTTCAACTCATAGGATATATACATGATGAACTTTCAGAATTCTTGTGTATTGTTCTTGTTTGAACATATAATCAACAAATGTATTGTCAGTGTCTGCAATTTCAACACTAGAACTTTTTTTGTTCTAATTCCTTGAACAGTACATCCTTGATCTTTGGATAACCAACCATTCTAGTTGCATTTTTCATATTGTTATGCCATCTTAAGATGAACTAAAAGATCGTTGAGTGACACGAGGATCAATAAACATTGCACCATCCTCATTTCGTTACAGCTCATCTGGGAGTTGATGCACAGAGTACTCATTGATTTAGGACAAAGGAGGTAGCCATACCAACTTGGTCACTGGTCAATTCTCATTGACAGGCATATGAAATTAATTTGAAATTAAAAGAAAAAACCTGAAACAAAATCTAGCATTCCCATAGAAATCTACAGAAACAAGCAGTGAGAGATTCCTGATACCAACCATAGAAAAAGATTAGGCACGAATCATTTAGCCCAAAAAGAATGAAACCCAACCAAAGAGAGAAGACCAACTGAAGCTTTTACATGTAATCCAACCAAAGAAAAAAAAAGAAATCCAACCATAGAAGAATTAATCTCGTTGTGCTCTTTCTTGAAGCTCTTTAAAGAGAATAACCTCATCTGATCCGACCATAGTTCATGGTTCCTAGTAATATTCCCCTTTACTTTTTATAAGTTTAGAGCTTAGACCAACTCACTAAGTGAATCAAATGAAGCTTTAACTGAATATTAGTTTGGCCTCTAGTTCCAATGGACAGTTCAAAGCATTTTAGGAGAACATAGACTGCTTAAAGACAAGCCTGTTGCTTGTTGACTAATCATTGAGCCCATTTCCAACTACTCTAGTATCTTCAATAGCTCATAATGTATGCAAGACAATGAAATTATACTCCAATAGCAAGGCTAACAAAAATGTACAAAAGGACCTCTTCTTCCTCGATAACTTCAGCTTCAGCATCATTTTCGTGTTGTTTCATCACTTGAGAATCAATCATAGATGCAGGCAGAGGTCTTGGAAGGAGCTTCTCGGCATCCCCAAAGTTTGACTGCAAAAAGTAGATAGAGCACTGAAGCAAAAGAATAAATAACAGAAATTTCTAACTATTGGCATGATATCCCAATCCCTACTCACCTTGGTACATGCCAAATGTGGTCTATATGCCCCCATGCACAAAAATGAATTCTTGATTGTTAACAATTGACATAGTAGTATATTGTTCTTTGAAGTCTGAATGCTATAAAACATTTCTATAGGACCTAGAGCAATTAAGCAATGCACTAATTTTATATCTGCCAAACTATAAAAAAAAAGGCAAGACTTCTTGAAAACAAAAAAAACTCCATTTGAAATGATAGAGCAAGTAACTACCATTCAAAATAAATACTTATAAATATACCAAGCATAGAAGCTCCAAATGCATAAAAACTTCACATAGAAAATAGATATGGCAAGAGAACAAAAAGTTTTTCTATAGCTTGAGGGGCAAAGCTCATTTGAGGGATATGTCGACCTGAATTTCATGAGACTGACCGTTCCGCACCCATGATCTACAAAGAGAATAGAGAGAGGGCGTGCATCCATCCAGTACTCTAACCTTCAATCAGCAGAAAGGTACCATCAATAATGAGCTTTTAAAAAAAATTATATACAACTGCCCATAGATTATGATATTAAGGTCTGAATTTATGCCTGTTACATCATACATGAACCCTAGCATATTTAACATACAACGAACTGCTAAAAAATTACAGAACTCCTTACAGGGCCATAGCACTAGAAATTCAATCAGCACAATTAATGACAACAGTATAAGTCATCCAGAATAGCCGTTTCAATATAGCCTGCCTGTCCACTGGAATTCTATCTAACTAGTCCTCTTACAAATTCTAGAGCTTGGAAGACACCCAAGGATTTTATTTTGCAATTATCATGCGACATTATCTATTGATAAAGGATGCCCACAAGAAAATAGCTATTATTGAAGCCATATGCTAATTGGAAATATGAACAAATGCAGAAATGTTTTTACTGATGAAGAAATACTTTATGCAAACAATTGGATGACTGAGCTAAATCCAGTAATAACGTTGCACCAACTCTAATCTATCAATCAAAGGCTGCAACTGGCCACCAAAATTAATGTAGGTCCTTAGAATTCCTTCTTGCAAAACCAAGTCAACAATAAACAGAGATGTGCATATCTTATCAATTATGTGCATCCTCAAAAATGAAAGACAGCATGCTGTTTTCACATAAAAGGTTTCAAGTTAACATATTATTCTACAAAAATATAAGCAAACAGTGTTAACTCCAATATTCTAAAATGCATCAAATGCTATGTTAATCAAGAAAGAGTTTGACATGGCATATCCATGAAATTTCCATAACATTAGACATGTATATTCACTCAACTAATCTTCACATGTAATACTCCAGCTACAGCCTATAGTTGATAGAAACTCGGTCTCGTTTGTAATTCAGGGCTATTTTACAATGCCAATTTCAATAATAATTTATGTAAATCAACTACTCATGAAGAATACTTTAGTATGCTAAATCTATCAAGCTTTGCAGTTAACATTGAAGACATAACTAACAAGATATATGCAACTACGTTTATTATTTTTTTTTCCCATTCACACAAAGTCATGAAAATATCAAACAAATCCCTGTGTCTTGCTTACTTTTCGATCGTTAATCATGAAAATATCATCTTCCCTAATCTTGTTCCTGCATAATTCAGTCCGATCAGTGCTTGCAGGCAGAAACACAAACACGTAAAGAAATAATGGGATTTGCCACTTACCACTCCTTAACATTTTTGTTTTCTTGCGTTGAGGATACTGATGGGAGTAGCGTTACCTGATCAATTAAAGATTTAATGAAAACGAATGAAATGGGAATCAGAGGTCAATCCCTTTGCTATACAAGAAGATACTAATATCCACAATGAAGATTAGATGTGCAAATATCGCTACAGAGAACAACACAGGTGTTGTGATGACTACATAAAGAAAAGGCGAGATTGACGTAACTTGTAAAGAAAGAGAGGAAGAAAGACAAAGATGAGAGAGAGAGAGAGAGGAAAAAAAATAACACTAAAAACCTTTGGTAGGGCGGCTACTGGAATGCTCTGTGGAGGGCCAGCGGCGGCGACGGCGGGCCTCGGGACCACAAGAGGCGTCGCGGACTGCTGAGCTGAAGGCGCGGGAGGCGGCCTCACGTGGTGGATCGGCACGTGCACCTGCGCGACCATCTGATCGGAAGTGCCGTACACGAAGGGCCTGGCCTGGGTGACGGCAGCAAAGGTCATGACGGCGGTGGGGGTCGTGTTACGGATGTACCCGGCCGGACTGGCCACCGAGACGGCCTGATCGGCGGCGGCCGGGGGAGGCCGGGAAGCGGGCCTCGGCGGGAAGGAGCGGTGGTGGTAGAGGAAGCCCTGAGGTGGCGGGGGAGGGGGAGGGTTTAGGGGTTTTCCGAGGAGGGGCTGGGGGGAGAAGAGCGGCGGGGGGCGGAGAGGCGGGGAGACGAAGGACGGCCTCGGGAGGGGATGGGCGGCGGCCGCGGCGGGGGGGTCCGGGGCCGAGGAGGGGGCGGCGGAGGCGGAGGAGGAGGAGGAGGTGGGGGACGCCATGGCGGGGAGATTTGGGGGATGAGAGTCGGTTCAAAAACAAAAGCCGACAGAGAAGACTTTGCGGCCCTCTTTCGAGTTTGGCCCTCCATCTTAACAGACTCGATTCCTCTCGCGTGCGTCTCACGTGCTCAGCAGCCGATGGATTATCTAAAGGATGACGCGGTCATCGTTGGCGTCCGTCAGTCGGAACTCGAGCCGTGACTCAACTCGGTACTCGAAAGCGTCTCCGTGAATCGTGACCCAAATTATGCAAGAGTTGTTCAGCATATCAATGTATGTTCCTGGAAGCTAAGGCGTCTCTGGTTCACATTCAAGCTTCGACATTAAGCAAAACTAGATACGAAGCATCTACTAACAACGGAAGCTTCAGCTGCGTGGCCAATACGAGGAGGAAGAAAAGGAAACCATTCTTTGTCCTTGCTATCATGTTCTGAAAATAAAAACTCTCGTATATATAAAGTTTCACAAAATTCTGTGACCATATGCCGGTGAATCGTTTGATTTACGACAAACTTGTGTTCGTAAGCCTACATTGTTGTGGAAAACAGACCTCACAAGTTCGATTCAGACAATGTGTCCATAATATAATCCAACAACCAGAACCGGCTTTCTGCTAGAATCTCAGCTTAGTCTTGGAGAAGGATAACCAAAACAACAACAACAACAACAGCAGCAGTGTAAAAACAAAAGGGGACAAAACATTTTCCATCAGAAACTTGTTGATATTTCCATCTCTAGCAGGCACATAGCCGAACTGGCAGATCAACAGTGAAAAATGTGGTTTCAACACTACATCCCTACATGTAAATCTCGATGCGCAAAATCAAATTCACCAAGTGCATGTAGCGTCCAGATTCCAGCATCTGATGAAGCTGTTTTCTATGACTTTGTTATATTGATACAGGAGCACCAGAGAAATAAGCCTGGTTAAAACGACAGATGATATGGACAAGCAGTATCTGGAAGTTCAGTCGTCATCAAGTCGCAGACGAGTGGAAAAGCAGCATTCTCATCCAGTTCGTTTTGAATGCATATCAGCATCTTCAGCAGGATAGGAAGCTTTGGTTCTGCCCATGGACAACCATTGATGATATCAACAAAATGACTTAACTAGTACTTGCACATTTAGCAATGTGTATGGAAGCTTTATGAATAATTCAGTCTCTAATGTCATTCACATGGTATTTAGCTGTATGGCTGAACAGCAATGTTTTCCTTGCCCTTATAATCTTGATTACCTTTTTTCTTGACTGGTTCACTTCCAGTTTCATGAAACCCATAACCAATCCAGAAGTGAGAGGTTCTAGGGTGAAGGCAGGGAAATTCGAAATATGTGATAGGCAATATCTACATGGAGGTACTACAGGAGCAAAAGGATGAGTGTCACAAATATGAAAGTCTCCTATCAGATATCTACCTACAAAGAGATACACATGTTCCATGGTAGCAAGGTGTAAATCAAAGCATTACCATAAACGACCAACCTCACCTGGTTCCTATGGGGATCGCTGTTGGGTCAGCCCCATATTCCCTTGTATCCCATCTCAATGGACCCATTCCAGCTCTAGCTGGAATTGTAGTGTATGTTTATTTGGACTCGTGCATTGAATAATGAAGTTGAATAAGTAGCACAACAAAAGGCTGAAAAATGAGTGGAGTGGCAAAGATCTGAACCAAAACAAAGTTATGAGAATCATACATGATATCAAGAATAAATACTGAGCACCAGTGTGCATTGTCTGTGTGTAGGTTTGGGCTAGTTGAATCAGGCAAGCCTAAGCATTTTAATTAACTTGGGTCTGCTTTTAACTCAAAAATAGATATAATGATTAGTTTGACCTTAAACTCTCATGTTAGCTAGTTCCAATTTTTGTCATATTGATTAATTTTGATCAGGAATCTTTTGCACCCATTCATTACAGAGATTAGATGAGGGATATGCAACACTGATGGATCTGCCTGAATGATGCCTTATGAGAGCATTTAGAAAAAAAAAAAAACCCAAAAATTAGAAAGCAGAAATTTTTGTAGCTAGATATACAGACTACACATTTGTATTAATAAGCACAGCTGATATGACAAATGGGTCTGCATTTGAAGGAAAAAAAGCTTTAGAGATTAAACGGTTCCAACATTAGTGACTCATGCAGCATGTTGATGTCTGACTTCGAACAAATAATCATTTGGGAAGCATTGCTAAACATACAAGGACAACAATAAAAGAAAGGGATATAATATAATCAAAGTGAATCCATCTAAGCCAAACAGAAATGAGCTCTGGAACTAAAATTGACATGGGTATATGGAACCAAAATTGTACTCATTTATTCTTTTTTATACTCTCTCAGCAACCTAACGAAACTCTTTGGTTCATTATGATCTGTGTACAGGAATATATAAAATTAGCAAGACCAACCTTTCTCATGATTTTGACTTGTTAGTATGGCAGCATTAACCTGGCTCACAAGTTTCAAACGTTGCGACGGACCTAGGAGCGGGAAAAGGGTTGTTGTCCGTATGAACTCCTTTAGAAAATCTATCTGCCAAAACCAAGTTTCTTTTTGATCAACAACAATTGAGCAAATAATTAGAGCACACGCTATATCCAGAAAATTTCAAACATAGTAACCTCAATATATAGCCCCCAACTGCAACATTGCTTAAGGAAAAGCACATTCAGAATGTTGAATAAAGTTACATATCATGAAATCATCCAATTATAGAAGGATAAGTTTCAAGCCAAGCTTACAAATGTTACTCCTACCATATTCAGTGCTTACTAGAAAAACATAATTTTCAAGGGCTAGACAAAACAAGCATGAAGAGATGCTAAAAAGAATCACATTATTCTGAATCCCTGGTAAAATCTCATCTACAGCATACAGCAGAGCCATTTCCATTTCTCCAGCACGAATCATCTCAATCATCCTCTGATGTTGAAGACGGAAGTCAATTTGGCGGTTCATGACAAGTATCTGCCAAGAATGTATAAACAACATAAGAAGTAAGGATAACGATTCCACATACTACCTTGAGCAAATTTTAAAAACCTGATGTCAAATTTCAAAATAATATAACCATAAAAAATCTGACAATGATCTCAAACTGTGGTACATAATCATGAATGGATCGAACCGAACCTGTAACTGATCTTAAATTAATTAGATTTTGTGTAAAGCTACTGAAAGTTAAAAGAGAAGAGCGGGGGTATCGGGAAGGTCGATGTACATAGCCTTGCTCCTAAAAGAACCTGTCACATATTTTTGTAACAGATAGCTGAAGTATCAAAATGAATTTCCAAATCAACAGTCCAATGGTACGCTTAACATTTGTTATAAACTTGTGTTGCATGTTATATCAGACTTGAATTGCCACCATTCAAGGGTATGCCCTGGAACCGTGCTCCTAAAGAAAGCACACATTGATTTGTTAATGGATCAGATCAGCCAATTTTAAACTGATTAAGCTGTGTTGATCATATTAAGTAACTGGGACAAAGTACTGTTAACAAATTTCATGAACTAATCAAGCAGAGACAGACTCATTGTAGTTAGAATTGTAGACAATTTATTAACGCCCTAAACAAAATGCCAAAAGCTACTTCGAATCACAAAAATTGGAAAATGATAAGACTCAGCAGAAAGAACAAAAAAAAAGAAAAAGAGTTTGTTTGATACTATCAAACTTAGGCCAGCATAATGATCCACAAAAGGAGCCATCACCAATCTAGCATCTAAAACAAGCTTAGCCTGAGTGTATAATAATTCCAGCATTGGTGCTAATTTTTGTTGTTCATTTATAGAAAAAAAAGCTCAAGATCAGATCATTTTGATTTCTTAAAACATGTTCTAACCAAGACTGATCCCTCTACAATCTGCACTAATCATCTTGACATTCTTCCATTATTTTCAAAATCTTTATATTAGGACAAGATGCCGTTTTGCTTACCCAAGAGATAAGTCTGGTTAGTTCCTTGACCCAATACAAGAAGTAAAGATGGTGAGGAAGCAATAGATCCTTACCATAGGGTCCAACCTATTGAGTTTCTCAATCGTCTCCTTCAGATAGAAAGATTCCACAGCCCTTAGCACCGCCCGGCGTTCAAATACAGTAGCAAGATCAATATCGGCTAATCATCGACAAGCAAAGGCAACATTGCGGATAGAGATTCAACATTGGTGTAAAAAAGAATCAGCCGAGAACGACGAAAATGCCAAGAACGAGGCGTACGTTCGGTGCCGGACTCAATCTGGAACTTCTCCGCGGCCTCAGCGTAGCCTTCGGTGACGAGATAGTTCATCACGAGCTTGTTCACGTCCGCGTCCCTAATCCTGACATCTTCCAGCCTTCTTTCCCACGCCCGATACATAATCACCCTCTTCGACGACGGCTGCACCCAACCGATGAGTCAAAGCAAGAACGGCAACATTAGGGATCGGAAACCCTAACCCTAAGAGCAGCAGGAAGAGAGAGAGAGAGAGAGAGGATTACCCCTGCTGCATCCATAATCAAGGCCGGAGTATCGAGACGCGGCGAAGATCTCGCTGGAGTCGGGGGGTGGGGATTACTGGAGCGATCAAAGAGAAGAGAGACTCGGTATCGATCGAGGTCGGTGGTGAGCGATGCGAGACGGCGATGGGGAGCCAAATGGAAGGAACGAAGAGACCGGAAAAATATTGGCTTATATTTTCAGTTTTTCGTTCTTGAAATATTTTACTGAAATTTAAATAAAATTGGACGATTTCTTTGCTAAAAAAAAAACTCATTTTAAGTATTTAATTTTAATTTTTTTCTCTAATATCCTAAATATCTCTTCTCATCGTATCACCTATCTCCATATGAGCTTTGCTAGCGCAATGCCTAATCATTTTAATTATATTACCATCTTCTTTTCTTTCGAGTTCTTATTGTTCTTTTGTGATTTTCTTCGTCCAGCTATAACCATATTATCGTGAGATCGCGTCTTACGTTCATCACTATAATGAAAAAAGAAAAAGATGATGATGACATATATTTATGATATTTGAAAAAAAAACTAAATGAGAAAATTAAAATATGAGATATCCGAAAAGCTAAAAAAAAAAGAGACATATTTTTAGAAATCATCTTAAAAAATTGAAATGAATCGTTGACTAAAATTGACCTGTTCAAATAAAAAAATCGCAATAAAATAATATAAAAATATGTGAATATCAATGAAAAAGAATATGTAGAGTATCACTACAAACACTTTCGATGCAATCAAAAAGTACTCAACAACACATGTTTCTGCTCGCGTTGACCTCAGATCGAGGTTAGTCAATATGTATGCATCAGATCACTGAAGAACAAGAAAAAGAAAGAAGGAAGAAGAAAAAGATGACACACGACGTACTGTTGTTACACGATCTCCGTGATCATCGGATATCATCGAGTTGAGATCACACGAGCTCTCATTTCTCGACTCACCCAGCACCGATGCATTGACGTTTGACCTTTTGGAGATCATCATCTCCTTCCTGAGGTTTGGCAAGCATACGCCAAACAATGATAACTGGCCTTCGAACCTTCCTTCCAAGTCGCGGTCAGTTTCAAGCACTGCGGCTGTAAACGCCGACAAACCAGCGAAGAGTGCGAGAAAATCCATCAGCGGTGACCCAATGTCACTTCCCCGGCAGAATCTTCGTCCTTGCAGTGTTCTCATAGTGTTTGCTCGTGGCGTAGGCAACAGCTGTAGTTCCATTCCAGCACGCTTCTTTGATTTCCTTAATTACTAAGGAAGGAATCACTGGCTTTTGATTTCCTTAAAGAAATCTTGTTTCCGTGGGTGTTGACTTTGCAACAGTCTTCATCTTCTTACTGGATCTTTGGATCAGCTTCATCTTTTCATGTATCTGATCATTACACTTACTGAGAAATGAGAAACCGAGGATGACGACTCACCAACAACCAGTCAACCGAGATCCATGAATTGGTGGCAGACAGGCTGCCCAACTTGGGCGAGGTCACGCCCCCTATTGTGGACTTGGACATGGGAGAAGCTTCTTTAGAGATGGTGACTGCGCCTTGATGCATATGATGAGAGCCGCCTCTAGTTGTCACCATATGCACCTATTCCCTGGAGACATAGGTTGTCCTCATCTTCCACTGATTGCTGGCTGCATCGGCTAATAAATCATAATTTATATGAAAAATATGGAAGGAATCGATTATGATATAAGAAGATTGATAGGCTTACGAAACACTATGTTTTGTGATTTGTATCATAAAGACTCCAGGAATGAATGCACAAAAAGAACACGATTTACATAGCATTAATGTAATCAGGTATAGAATGCATAGATGTATATTAGTCTTGCCATTGAGGAGCAAAATGAGACTCCATAGATCACTATCTGAGTGTGTCCCACATGTGACCTTGGAATGAAATGACAATATTTGGGATAGGTATGTCAAAGAGTACTTTTTCTATTGCCATCTCTCCCCTCAATTATGTCGCTTTGACTAGAAAAGTCTTTAATCAGACACTAAAGTAGAACCTTGATTTGCTCAACAGCGAAGCTAAACCATGCATGCATGAATGGTGATGATCTTGCCTGCCCAGTTCTCCAGTGAATTGCCTATAAATACAGGAGCATTGTGAGTAGTTCCAGCAGAAGAAAACTAGAATGGCTTACTCTTCTTCTTCTTTGTGTTCAGTGTGCTTAGCCTTCTTCTTCTTCTTCTTCTTCTTCACCCTTCTCCTCCATGGCTCTCGAGCTCAGCTGAGCTCCACATTTTACGATAGCTCATGCTCAAACGTGTCGGCCGTCGTCCGAAACGTGGTTCAGCAAGCCCAGAGCTCTGATGTTCGTATCGTCGCGAGCCTCCTTCGGCTCCACTTTCATGACTGCTTCGTGAATGTAACATTCAGTTCTTCTCCAAACTTGACTAATTCTGCTACAAGTTCTAGTCATCAAAGTTCATCTTGATCTTGAAAGACTCATAAACATGATGCTTAATTAGTCATATGTTGAGTGCCTGGGGCACCGGATGATTAGCTTGGTTGCTGTATTGTAGGGCTGCGACGGTTCCATTCTGCTGGATAACAGTGACAGCATACAGAGCGAGAAGGACGCGGCGCCCAACAAGAACTCGGTGCGGGGGTTCGATGTGGTCGACGACATCAAGACCGCGGTGGAGAACGTTTGCCCGGGCGTCGTTTCCTGCGCTGACATCCTCGCGCTCGCTGCCGAAGCTTCCGTCGACTTGGTATAAGCTTTACCACATCTCAGCTTTCGTGCTTTGGTCCTCATCCCTATAAATATGTGTAGCTTCTCCTTCTCTTAGCTTCTCCTTCACTTGGAGGCTTTGACAAGCAAGACCGACCCAATATTGCAAATATACTCGAACTAATTATTCTTTTAGTATGTATATGGACACAACGACCAGCATATTGGACAGATTCACGGGGTTAACAGTGTTCCTATCTCAAGGGAGAGAACATCCATGTGAAGTCAGATATAAAAATGAGATAATGAATGCATGAGTTGATTAGTATAACCAGGATAAGTCAAAATAATTAATATGATAGCAGAATGGTGGTGTCAGAACTCAACAGCAATGTGTTGTTAACAGGCAGGAGGTCCAACATGGGGTGTACTACTGGGAAGGAGGGATGGAACCACAGCCAACCCTACCGCTGCCAACAACATGCCGAGCCCCTTCGATGACTTGGACACCCTCAAGCAAAAGTTCTCGGATGTAGGCCTCGATGACACTGATCTGGTCGCCTTGTCAGGTAAAGCTTAATCCTGGTTTCACTCTTCTTTTTTCTATCTCGTCCGGATAGAGAAACAAGTACGTAAACGGCCTTCTCATCTGGTTCTTCTCTGCATGGCATGGGATGCACGCAGGAGCTCACACGTTCGGCCGCGCGCAGTGCCGCTTCTTCAGCAGCCGGCTCTACAACTTCAGCGGCACCGGCAGCCCCGACCCGTCGCTGGACTCCACCTACTTGGCGACTCTGCAGCAGAACTGCCCCCAGGGAGGAGACGACACGACCCTCAACAATCTCGACCTCACCACGCCCAACACCTTCGACAACAAGTACTTCACCAACCTGCAGAGCAACGAGGGGCTGCTGCAGTCCGACCAGGAGCTGTTCTCCACCAGCGGGGCCTCCACTATTTCCATCGTCAACAGCTTTGCAGGCGACGAAAGCACCTTCTTCCAGAGCTTTGCTTCCTCCATGATCAACATGGGGAACATTAATCCACTGACCGGGAGCAACGGAGAGATCAGAAGCGACTGTAAGAAGGTCAACTAGGGGTGCGTGCGTGTGTGTTTGTTGACTTTAGCTACTGTATACTCTGAATAAGAACTGCAAGAAGTTGCCGCGAAAACTATGAACCAATGAAGTGGGTGCTCATGTTATCGGACCAAGTGGTCTAATTAACAGGACGACTAATACTACAGTATGTATCCAATGTTAAATCGAAAATTATCCACCAAAATATGCATGAAGCACAAGCAATTTAAAATTTCTTTCAGGAAACATTTCTCAAGACTTCTATCGACAATCTTGATTATGAAATGACCAAATATTCTCAATGCCTAAGCTAAAAAAATCTTGGCTCAAAAGTTCTGCTGAGAAGTTGATTCAAGCTCATTTTGTTGATTATTAACAAAATAATAGTGCTTCATGTTGTTACCTGAGAATAATACTTTGATGCCATACGTGCGATGTCCTTTTCCTCTAGATTTGATTGGAAAAGGTGGTGTGAAATTGCGGCCATGCAAACCTTCTAATGCCAACAACCAATCTTACTTGCGTTTCGAGTGTACGAACACACGGAGTTCTTTTCGAGAACAACGATCCCTTTGACTAATTGGAAGCAATACTGGCTTCTTTTTCTTCATCCCCTCGTTCTTCAAAAATGTTCCCTGGTCCATATGCCGACTTCTGCTGTCTTGCAGCATGTGCCGATCGGCTAGTCATCCTGCAAACCAAACAGGGAAATTTCATCAGATCTTCTCAGGCAACTCTGTTCAGAGACATTGAATAGAGACGTTTATATCAGTGTGTAAGGAATCTGCAGTAGATAATTGTAATCAATGCATAATCCAACGTCATGTACACAATAACAATCTGCACAGATTTAGGCACATACAAAAATGTCAGCGGTAATGATGCTGACATTTTTTGTATGTACAAGGTGGAGTCTTGGAACCTGGAACGGATGCTGAATGGCTCATAATGCAGCAGGCATTAATCAGCTTCCACAGATCATAACTCATTGCAACTAGATGGCAAATCATAAAAGGAAATGAGAGATGAACCAGAAATGCTCAAGATGAAGTATATGACTGAGAATTCTGCAAAAATCTTCAAGTGCGTGCCGAGATTTTGTTATATGTTCACAGAACCGATCCCATGTAATTCGTGATTTGGAAACGAGAAGTGACTTTATAGAGATCTCACAAAGAAGAGACTTGATTATGTCAAGCTAATGTTAGTGGCAAAGAATGTTAAAGCAAGCTCTCTGGTTGCCTGTGCTGTTCTTCAAAGCAGGGTTTCCACAAAGATCCACAGATCCATCTCCACTATGTAATTTTTCATTAACATTCTAAAGATACCAAATCAATGGCAAATTTGTTGTACAAGAAAAAAACGAGGAAAAAAGTTATCAGGAAAATATAAGGAAGTCTAATTCTATCAGGAAATTTCAGGTAATGAACGCTATAATGGCAGAAAGAAGTGTTAATGTCGCTTTTATTTGTATCAGCGACTAATTCGATGATTCACAAGTTATTTCTACATATGAATCTACAACTACTTCAGCGAAGAAAGCAGTATCGTCACTTCATACTTCGGAAGAGTATCAATCAATCTCGATCTCGAAGCCATGGATGCGACAATACCCAACAACTAGATGAAAGATCCCAAAACCTAATCGAAGAACAGAGATCGAAAAATCAAAGGCTCTGGCTCACAAAATAGAGCCTTGACCTATCAAGCGATCGGGAAGCGGAGGAATCAGGAAACCCATGAAAAATCACAGAGCTAAGCGATTCTGGCGCAGATCACAAGAGTGAAAAGAGATCGGACCTCGTCATCTCTCTCTATTAGCTGCACGTCTATATGAACATTTTCTCCTCCTTCCAACAATTGTTGCTCCACCTCTTCGATGGCAGCCATCGATCACCGATTCGAGGATGCGCCGGGCGGAGCTCCGCCGCATTTTTATAGGGCAAGGCGGTTTCGGGTCCGTTTGAAACCACTAAAGAAAAAGAACTCCACGGTGCGCATCTAAATCGGACACACGACTGTACCGCTCTACTAGCTTGTGGGACCAGAATCTCGAGAGTAGTGGGTCCTCCAGGTAGCCATTCGGCGGGCAAGTGGGCGTGCGTTCGAGGATGAGACGTTGGTTGCTTCCGGTCAAGGGCACGGCCATCCGACGGCTACGGATTGATTCTTGCGCTTGTCCGGAGCCGTTGGATGCGCCCACCTCGCCCGCTTACGGAGCTTGTCAACGAACACACAGGTAACTGTCGTACCGAACAACTTCCGCTTGCGACTGCCTTTTTTATTTACCAAAATGACCTTATCTTCTTCTTCTTCTTCAATTGCACGGCACTACCAACTTATGAGCTAAGAGCCAAAGGGAGAACATTTGATTATAACTTTGGGTTCTTCTTTCCAACTATGCCTGACTTGTTAATGTGTTGTTGCTGACAACAATCTAATTACTCATTTCGGTTCAGGGTTCCTTTCCAAGACCATAATCGTTCCATGTTGTGTCTATTCTTTCCAACTTATTATTGAGCGCATTAAATCTAAATTGCACCTTTTTCTGATGGACTTGCCTTCATTCACTTCAACGAATGGGATTGCTATCAACTACTAAGATATTACTGATTTATACACGATACATATCTGGTTAGCATACGTAGTGTAGAAACAATGGAGAGATGTTGAAAGGAGACCGGTGTTCACCTCGCCAAGCGACCCCACAACCTCTCTCTCTCAGACGTCTTTAGCGTACCATGAGTTAGGCCACACGGACCATCAATCCATGGAGTAACTGTCGTATAACTCTTTGTCTTCATCTCATCCACGAGAAAGCCCATCTCCTTATTCTGCAGCCATCCTTACATCATCTCCTCATGATCTCTTACCTTCATCTTATCTTCTCAATATACATATATGTCCTCGCCGTGTAGTTCCACCTGCATCTATTTCCAAATCTTCTCCGAAGTTGTACGTGCTGTAGCTCTCGCTTGTGTTTCCTGGTGCGATGTGCAGTAGAGGCCATTGGAGGCCGGAGGAGGATGAGAAGCTCAAGGAGTTGGTCACTAGGTATGGTCCTCATAGCTGGAATGCCCTCGCCGAGAAGCTTCAAGGAAGATCAGGTGCAACCATATGAACACGACTCATGCACCTCTTGCATAGTGTCTTCTGATTCCTGCTGCTCCTTTCTTGTTCTTGTTCTCGTTCTCATTCAGAAGGGCTCCTTTGCTTTCTTTTTCTTGAGGAAAAATAAGTCCTCTTCTTCCTCGTCCTCCTCCTTTCTTCTTCCTATGATTTTGTCATGAGGTGTTTCATTCAAAGCCAATAGTCATGTGAGGTAACGCCTGGACCAGGTAAAAGTTGCAGGCTGCGGTGGTTCAATCAACTGGACCCGAGGATCAACCGCAGCCCTTTCACGGAGGAGGAAGAAGAACGGCTCCTTGCTTCCCACCGCGTCCATGGGAACCGATGGGCGGCCATCGCAAGGCTCTTCCCTGGCCGCACCGACAACGCAGTGAAGAACCACTGGCACGTCATCATGGCTCGCAGGCATCGGGAGAATTCGAGACCTTTCTCAAAGACAGCTTCTCGATCCGAGTCGAGGAACATCAACCAGAAACCAATACCAAAGGATCAGTACTCCTCTAAGATCCATGGTAATCAACTGAGAAGTCCCACTTCTTGATCTTACATCAAAGTGATTCTCACGATCAAATGACCTATGTAAATGCGATTGATTGCAGGTAAAGAATGTTCGATCCAGTTTCACGATTTCCTTGAGGTAAACACCGAGCCTAATGGCAGCAAGTGCCAATCGAGCATACCAGAACAAGAGGAGGTCCCTTCATCGATTTCTTGGAAATCAGACGTTCCTCATAAGATGGTGTAGTGTGAATACAAACTATGAAATCATGTAGTACATATCTTGTGTGGCCATTGAGCTTGTTCTTGTACGTTAATGAATTAAATACACATCTAAATGAAGTTTATCTTGATTGAATTACTGATGGTGGTGACTCCAGCACTTCTTTCTGAGTTCCAAGTGCAAAGAATGATTCAAATGATTGAGAGCAATCAAACACAGAGCTATTTCTTCCCCCCCAAAATATATTTTTCTCAAGGTCTTTGTTTCACCCTTAAGCAGACAGTAATTGTGTCTCCAAATTTATTTTCATTAATTAATTAATATTCTTGTTATGTTGAGATTCTTGATAAGAATGAAGCCATGCATTCTTTATAGGCCTGAAAAATATTTGTCATCTTCAAATACAGATATGTATCAGTATGACAATGAGCTTTCTTGTGATGCATACATGTGACAGCCTTGTATGAGTGTGGTCCTAAAAGAACATAATTGCACATACCAATTGGTCCCTTTGTCCTTGTCAACAAAAGGCTAAGCAAATCCAAGGCTAAAAATTGTTATATGAAACATCCAATTTCATACCATATTATCATTTAAACATTGTACTAAAGCTCTCATTCTTAATTACTTTACGTTCCTGAGTATCTTATATTTTTCAGAAGGATAGAACGGTGTGTAAGACTAGAGGACTAGCTCAGATGTTGCTTGCTGCAAATGAAGAGCTTGTCAAGTGCTTTGATCATGTCGAATGATCCTTCTTCTCTCTGCGGACAAAGGAAAGAACTGCTTTCGTGAATGAGTTCTTTGTTTCTGTTTGCTGCTTGAAGGAACAACGACCAACACTCACTACAATTCCTTTGACAATCAATAATGAGCAGAATGTCAGCCATAAAAGCACCCCAATGATTGCAAGATAGATTGAACTATAAAATGATTCACATGATTGGAGGATCTAATTCGAACGAGCTTGTTGGTCCAAATGGGACGCAAATCCTGACAATCTTGCATGAAAAGGTCAAAATAAGTCAACCCCCACTTTGCCGAACCTCTCTCCGAGGGCTCTTCAAACAGTTCAATGGGCTATCATACGGCGGAGGCAGTACTTTCCCCCACCAACCTGTCTTCTGATGGGAGGCAAAGGTGGGCCCGTATGGGACTTGTGGGGTCCTTGCTGATCTGTGACATCCAATCACAAGTGGATAAACCACACGAGTAAGCAATCATAAAAAAAGGGCATTTAAAATTATATAAAAACTATTTAATTTAATTAGCATGAGAAGAACTCAATGTATTTATTGTTATTTTTAATCTATTGGTGATGATTTTTGGTACTGTGGTCGGAGGAGCGTCTTATAATTTATATTCCCAAAATCGCTATTTGTTCCGATGGCATCTCAGCAACGCGCCGTTTGTACTGGCCTCGTGGATGGGACCCGCAAGCACTGGGGCGCAGGTGGCCCTTCCAAGTTGACTCAGTCGCTCCTTATCTTCACGGGTGACGATGATTCCGAGCTCGTGGGCCCCGCTCCACAGGCACCGTCTGATGACGTCACTCATGAGACGTTCCAGGGGTGATGCGGCCCGGCCGGCCTCTGCGACGGTGCTTTTCGCTTCCATTGGCATACCGATTCGAAAGATGGAAGCCCCCAACGTGACAATAATGTACGCCTCCGGTGTTGCCCGTTGTCGCTATGCTTGGATCCCCCGAGCGCCGGCCTCCATCGACCCCCTCGATGCCGTCGTCCTCCCGTTCCCCCACTGATGCCGCCGGATTCCTCTGCCCTTGGCCGCCTCCAGTTCCCCTCCTCCTCCTCTCGCCTTAGCGCCGCTGTCGTTCCGTAAGTCTCCTGTCCCAGCCTTCTTCACCTTCGGATCTCCCGCTGCTCGGGTTGGATCACTCGAGCCGGGCGTTGGAACGGGTTTGCAGGCAGTCCCTCCCTGCTTCCGATGTCGAGTTGGAACCGACTCTTTCCTGATTCTGCCTGCTGTGGGCTTTTCTTGAGTAGACTCCGACTCCTGATGCTAGTGTTTCGGGTTTTTTCGATATTTACGGGCTCCTTTTGCTGAAAAAGCGTTTCATGGACTAAGTTGTCGAGAAAGGAGACGGATGAAGAAGAAAAGAGGTTTTCTTTTACTTTTTTGCTTATTTGGTTGGTTGGTTGATTGATTTGCAGGTGGTTCTTGCTCTTGTTGCTAGCATTCTGGTGGATTTGGGAGACGAGATGACGGACTCCGTGGATGTTGTGCTGCAGTTCTTAAGGAAGAATAGGTTTATGCACGCTGAGGCTGCTTTGCGTGCGGAGCTCAATGCGCGGCCGGACTTGAATGGGTTCCTCCAGAAACACCTCGCCGAGGAGAAAGAAGCTTTGGGAGAACATGTCGGAACGGCTAGTGGTATGACGCAGAAAGGCATGAGCGTATATAGCGGAGAGATGGAAAATGAGTTCATCGTCAAGGAGATTGAAGTAGGTGGTGCTGGAAACGGATCCAAAAGAAAGAAAAATAGCACTTATAATTGGGGTCCAGAGAGCCATCCAGTGGATCCACACACTTGGAATTATAGTTCTGCTGGTAGTACTGTCAATTGTGTTGTCAACAATAGCAGCACTCGTGACATCACCAATAACTTCGCTGATCTTTTAATATCCAAGGAACCGAAGCATCAACATGATTCTTCTATGTCAGAAAAGAGGGACTTGACTGTTGGAACCAAGAGTGATCTATCAGGGGAGCAAAATAGGGTTTCCGACAGAAGGGGTAAAGTTAAAGATGAGGTGGAAGTGAATCCTGAGATCAATCAAATTGTTGACCATAAGGACGATAATGCCTTCTCCGAAGACCATTTTATTGATAAGCTGTGGTTACAAAGTGAAAATCTATCAACAGATTGTTCTGTTAAAACAGTCTTTCCATTTCCTGCACATAATACAACATCCAGTTTTGAAGGCCATCTTGATTATAGAAAGGGGCTAAGAAAGAAAGCAGAAAGTGATGATTTTAAGGAAGCAACAAGAGAACAACCAGATGGAATGAGCTGGTCACACTTCTCTGGAGAGTCTCGAGAAAATCTAAAGATGAAAGAATCTAGAATCCTTGATCTATCATTTATTGGTGAGAATCACAAGGAAGAGCTGCCAAAATTGCGCCCTGTGCGGCTTAAGTCAGAAGACAAATCAATAAACATGGACATTGAGGAAAAGGCTGGTCATCATGAACCTGGGATAAGGCTATCCAAAGCAGAGAAGACGTTCACGTTTGGATCTCTTGTTGATGTACCTATTGGGCAAGAATTCAACTCTTCAGGTATGTAGTAGCTTCTTTGGTAACTATCATTATGATGAACAACATTATGAGCTCTATTTTACCTTATCATATTGGATTCAATTTGCCTGGTCATAAAGTTTGATAGTATCAGCCTTTCTGCATTTTTGGCCACGAGTATGACTCTTTCTTCTTTGATTGACAGCCAGCAACTTGTTTTCCTTTTTTCCATCTATTTTAGATATGTTGAATCAGTTTGGTGCTAGACTCTTGCTCATCTTTTTTGTTCTGTTTATGCATTATAAGGTTCCTATTTCTCTTTTTTTTCAATCAATTGAAACTTGTAAAGCATAATTTATTATAGATCTTAATGAGTTGTTAGTTGCACATCAAAGAGGCAGCTGCCTTTCATAATTTACATAGATGAGGCTAAATAGGAAACTTATTTGGTAGGTTTGTTGTCTATTCCTCAAGGACACTGATTTAATGTTTTATAAATAATATATTTGAAGAAGTCTGCTGGTAGCACTGAATTTTGTCTTTTATGGCTACTTTTACATATATAAGTTTCACAATAGCAGGATACAGTTATAATAATACACCTCCTCTAAATGTCTTTTCCTCTAGTATTTGAATTTCGATGGTTTTGCGATTCCGCTGGGGTTGACATGGGCTGTCTTTTTAACAAATTTTTTTAGTGTACTGCTTTGATGATGACCAGGGGATATTGGAAATCTTCATTAAAATAATTTAACAATTTATATGCACGTAGACATATGATGAATAAATGAAAGATAGAGTGACAATGATTTTTATGTATCAGATTTCTCGATGAGCGCTGCTACTCCTTGAAAATAGTCCCATAACAGGTGTGGAGTATAACTTAATATAGTTTATATTTTATAAATCACTATGATACTACCCATCTGCAAAATGCACCTTCTAAGAGGATGCTGCATTGCAGAAATAAATCACAACCTGACCCATATAGTTTCAAGCATTGCAACAGAACAATGATCATTCATATTGTTTGGGACATGCTGAGTGCTGCTGTGCATGTAGGTGAATCTCTGTTCTTTTCGGTGTCGCACAAATGGATGTGGACCATGACTCCTTTGGGACCCCACATAACATTTGGGGAATCCTAATAATTCTATGGACTTGATGTAATTTCCTGTGGACCTGACATCCTCATTATGTATTTGAGTGGAAGCAAAAATTAGTCTCACTTTATGTATGGGTTATAGCTTGAGTTATTATACATGTCACCAGAAAATTACAAAGAGCACCTTTTTGGGGCCTTGGCTCATGTTATTTGGCTCAGGTCACTACAAGGCAATCATGATTCAAAAGATATATTAGTTTATTGCAGATCAGAAACAACTTGATCCAAATGTCAAATGCCACAATATCTGGGTTGGATTGTTTTAAGGAATCAATAAAATCAGTCTTTCCTAGACAAAATGTGACAATTGTAGGTTGGTCTTGCTCATTCCAGTTGATCTTGAAGGACTTAGGCCTCAGCTTTGTGCATTGCTCGATGAGAAGAATATAATGGGAAGAAAAACTGTTACTCAAAGTTACTTTGTTCATCTTGGATTGATGGCTTTGATGATAGGCATGACTGCTGCCATTCAATGTTGCAAATTGACAGTTGCTTGGGTTGAGTTGATGTTGCTTGCATTGGAAAACATATGTTGAGATATCAATACAACTTAGAATATTAAAAGAAGGTTTAATGATTATAAAAATAGATGATAACTATATGGTTTATGAAATAAATAAAATAATTATGTATTTTGTGCTTGGGTATCATGTAAGTTTTTAGATCTAGAAGGTTGTTGGTTTAATTTTGGATGTCAATATGTATTTATTGTCTTCTAAAACTCTTTTAGTATTTGACTTATTAATTTTGATTGTCAGATTTTATTTTTTTAGCCTTTTTCATTCATCCTTTCCCTTTTGTTAATAATTTGAAATGTAGGTTTTGTCAGTCATAGGTTTTTATCCTTTACATGTTTTGTTTATCATATTATCACATTTTAAACTTAAATCATATCTTTTCCGTAAGTTATTTCTTTGAACTCTGTCCTTGTTTTTCTTCACTTCTCCCTTCTTCTTGATTCTTTATCTATTTCATAGGTTTGGTTGCGTCGGCTGTTTGATATGACTGATGGGTTTGGTTATGAATTTCCTATCCATGGTTGATCACAGATCTAATCCCCAGCTTTTGAGGGTCCACGAGAACTGGTTCATTGTAACTACGTTAAATCTATGATGTTCTAAGAACTAATAGAACCAAAAAAAGGAAAAAAGAACTTGCATTTAACTTACAACAATAACAACGACAACAAGCCATAATGTCCAACTATTTGGAGAACTTGCATTTAACTTCCTATCTGAAAATTATATTGAACATGATAGCTGTAAGTAAAAGACAACCAACACAGTAACTTGAGGATACCTATTTTTGATCTTGTTTAGGGTCCTAATTTTTTGAAATTTTTTAGTAAAAATATAATCATAGATATCACAGTACATATGAAGTGATTCAAGGTTTGAAAACTTGGGGTGAATGTTTGGACAATTCGGTGTAAAAGATACGCTGCACTCATTTTATGGTGCATCATCTCTCTTTTTTTTTTTTGGTGTGGTGTTATTTCTTGTTACTATTTTCAATTTTTTCTCACAATTTACATAACATACCACAACAGGTGGGAAGCAAACAATTGGAAGTAGTTGGCTCTCTGTAAGTCAAGGAATTTCTGAGGACACTTCTGATTTTGTATCTGGTTTTGCTACCATTGGTGATGAATCGATTGATTATCCAAATGAGTATTGGGATTCTGATGAATATGATGATGATGATGATGATGATGATGTTGGATACATGCGACAGCCTATTGAAGATGAGACCTGGTTTCTAGCTCATGAAATTGATTATCCAAGTGATAATGAAAAACACTGTCATGATAATGTTCCTACCTGGCAGGACCATACTCTAAGAAAGGATGAAGATGATGATCAATCTTTTGCTGAAGAGGAATTTCACTTGTCAAGTGAGCAGTATTTGCAGCCAAAGAATGTTGAGAAAACTGCTGCTGCTCAGGGAACCATAGGTCATAAAATGTTGTATAGGAGGATAGAAGAAAATGATCTGTTAGCTCAGTATGATGGGCAGTTGATGGATGTTGAAGAGCTGAGTTTGATGCGTGCAGAACCTGTTTGGCAGGGCTTTGTCACACAGAATAGTGACCTCATTATGCTAGGAAATGGGAAATTTTCTAATGAAATTGAACAATGTCGCACTGATCCTTTTATGGAAGATGATCAACATGGATCATTTAGGTCAATTGGTGTGGGCATAAACAGTGATGCTGCTGATATTGGCAGTGAAGTTCATGAAAGCTTGGTTGGAGGAAGTAGTGAAGGAGAGTACTTTCTGGATTATGATGATCGGATGAGTGGCAAAAGACATTCTCAAAGTAATACAACTAGGACAAATATGAACAGGTCAAAGAGGGGCAATCTGAGGGGAAGTAAGCAAGATCCAGGTAGTTATATTTTGCCATCTGATAAGACTGTGTACTTATCAGGAGTTGGTTTTCAGGACAGTGGGTTTTCTTTCCTACCGCCTTCAATAACATCAGATTTGATTAAGGATGATTCTTGTAAACCATTATGGTCAAGCAACGGCAACAATGTGGTTGGTATTTTGGATGGCTGTCGAGATGGCATGGTTACAGAGGGTATGCTTGGTACATGGAGGAGAAAAAGCAGTGATTCTTCTCCTATTCAGAGCTCCAGGGATGATAAAACTTCTGATGGTGTTAGATCAAGAAAATCAAGTGCATCAGCCTCAAAGGATGATTTTGCAGAAGCAGAGGTTGTGAACAGAGGAGTAAATTACATAACAGGTGAAGCAGGAGAAGAAGATGTAGAGACTACATTAGAGGATGAAGAAGCTGTGGTATTGCAGGATCAAGTAAAACAGATAAAAGCTCAAGAGGAGGAATTTGAGACTTTTGATCTGAAAATAGTTCATCGGAAGAACAGGCATGCTTCTCTCTATAATCTCGCCTTTTTCTATTCAATGCTGAATAAATGTAGGCATATTTTGGTTTTTTTATGTGTACATATATGTAAATGTTGATGCTTCCCATTCAAAATACATGGAATACTCAGATGGTAAATTTGCACTGTTGAGTTATGATTAGTGAGTCTTGACTGCTAATAACAAAAAAATCAAACTTATCCGTTCGTCATTTGCCCTAAAATTAACAAATCCAATAGTAAGATAAAATCTTAACTTGGTCTACAGCCTAGAACTCGTCCAAACAGGTAGCATTATGATTCAAATCTTGTATTAATGGAGATAACTTTCCTCTCCCCCAAATTTTTAACCTAATTACAATTTAAAACTTGTGGTATCTTTCCATTAGCTAAAGGAGCACTACTTATCGAATATATTTGGTTTGCTAATTAGCAATTAACTGTTGAAAATAAAAAGACAATATGCCCTTGGTTTTCCAATCTATAGATAGCTCATTGCCCTTTCTTATTACTACAGTTAGTGCCATATGGAACCTGTTGTAGGCAAGGTTTCAATTTTCGATTTGAGACTCGTACCAACCCTGATCAGACTGGTATGGTTCCCGTATGTACCAGCATACTAACACATAAACACCAGAGTGCTGGTCAGCACAGACCAAAGGGAAAGAGGGAGGCAAGGGAGGAAGAGGAGAAGAAGAAGGGCGAGGAGGGAGGAAGAGGCCCATTGGAGGGGGAGAAGCGACAATGTAGTGGGTGGTAGTGATGTGATGGAGCAGAAATGGCAAAGCAGTGGGGAGGAAAAGATGGAGGAGGGGAGAGAGATATCTAGGGAAAAGGAAGAGAGTGAGAGTTTTGTGGGAGGAAAAAAATAAAAACAAACAAAAAAGGGATACTATTGAAAAAGTGAAAAAAGTTAGGGATCCTGGGCAGTAGACCTACGATCCGGTACACCTAAATGAGTTACTAAAAGCCTGACACTGACCCTGGCTGGTAGGGTTAACTGGTGATAGCCCTTGTTTCTGAATGGATCTGGCAAAATTGCCCGATCTGCATCCTGTTTCCTGATCAAACCTATGAATATAGGTTCAAACAATTTTTACATCCTTGATTGTAGCATGCACAGGTGGGGTAAGCAGTGGCAGAGAGGATCTGGCTTGATAAATGGTGGTAGTTGTCATAAAGGCTGCCTGCAGTTGATGATGGAGGACAAGTGTTCACCATCCTTGGCGAGGTGAACTAAATAGGTCTTGAAGTGAAAGGGGAGCACCTCATCAAAGGTGAATGATATCAGGGTAGAAGAATCCACAGAGTGCAAAGATCTCACCTATGCAATTGGAGGCAACGAAAAGGCTGGTGGATACTACTTCAATTCAATCTACTGCTAGTGGATACTATTTCTTTGATTCTCCTGCCACTAGACTTGTTCCTAAACCATGAGAGGCTGCGATCTAAGATTGTTTTTGTTGGAAATGAGTTGCAACCCTAAATGGGCTTGCTGAAGGACATGTATGAGTTGCAGAGATGGGTTTTAGGATTTCCAAAACTTAAGGTGGGATTGGAATCATGATATCACAGTAATAGAGGCCTTAAATTATTTAATTATTTCAGGGGCAAGATTTTCTGCATGGGTTTATTATGTCTAGGGATTAGGTGAGTTCCTATGAGAAGTAAACAGGGAGGATCAAAGTATAATTTGTATAGGGAATTCATGATATGGGATGATCAAATTGTAATATCATGTAATCATTTTTTTAAAAAATGGTTAGATATTGGATTTCCAAAATTTATGGTTTAAGACAAGATTTTGTTTATAAGTTTATATGCCCTCCGTATTCTATCACCTATATTGACAAAAAAAAGAAAAAGGAAAAGCTTAATTCTTGATACTGGGCAATTTAGACCACTAGATCATGCTTGAATGTGTATATTCCAATTTGATGTGCTCCATCAGTGGTCTTAAAGGTGAAGTTTGGAGGCCTTCATACTTTAAACATTCTCTAGAATTTCCAGTGGTTCTACTTCCAAATATTCTAATGTTCTGACCTTGTATTTCTCCTCCAACTACAAATTACCAGAACTGGCTTTGAAGAAGATAAAAGTTTCCAAGTTGTACTGAATTCTGTGATTGCTGGACGTTATCATGTCACTGAGTATCTGGGTTCAGCTGCATTCAGCAAGGCAATTCAGGCACATGACTTGCACACTGGCATGGATGTCTGTGTGAAGATTATAAAGAATAACAAAGATTTTTTTGATCAGAGCCTTGACGAAATCAAGCTTTTGAAATTTATTAACAAGCATGATCCTGCTGACAGCTACCATATTTTGCGTTTGTATGACTACTTCTACTATCGGGTGAGTAAATTCTTTTATTTTAGACTGGCATTTCTTTGTTTTAATTATTCCTTGATTAAATGTTAAAAAGGAAAATTTCTTATTTTTCAGTTTTGTGAGCATCATTGTCGAATTAAAGTAATGTTTTACCTATTCTGAAATATGGTCATATTATTTTTAAGCCTCACGATAGCTGCATCTTACGCATACTTATCATTTGTTGAAGGTTCTAAAAAGCAGAAGCTAAATGCAAATATTCATCCAAATCACAGCACATCATATTATTTTTAAGCCTCACGATAGCTGCATCTTACGCATACTTGTCATTTGTTGAAGGTTCTAAAAAGCAGAAGCTAAATCCAAATATTCATCCAAATCACAGCACATCATAATGAGAGTTCAGATTTGTATGTATGGACTTGATGATATAATGTGGGTTCAAGTTTATTTTTTTGGATTTTGATGTCAAGCTTGTTGTAGAATTTTTTTGTATGACTAAGAAGTTAGATTATAACTTGACCCTTATTATTTTTTTAAAAGTAGCTAAAGTATGAAAATACCCCGGAAACAAATAATAAATCAGAGTAAGAATTAAGGTTTTAGAAATAAACAAAGCTAAATAATTAGGCATCTAGATATGTCTTACGCTTAACTTATGCAAAATGTGACTTTCATATAAGAAAATTTGTTGAAGTTACCATGTACAAATAGCATGACAAAATCTACCAACTATTGCATGAACCCCTAAAAATTGTCTATATTGCAAATAGTATAGAGCTGAGGGTATGTAACTGATAAATATATTATTTGTCATAGAAAAATTTTAAGTTGGTCATTTTCCCAGGAAGAGACTCATCTTTTCAGTATTGTACCGACAGAAATGTATGTAAGGGAAAGGAGAACACTATAGCAGCAAGGTGTTGGATATGAAGATTTCTTTTTGTGTGATTACTTTCCTTTTTTCTCCAGGGGAATAGTAGGGCCACTAGGATGAAAAGTTAGCTACCCTAGGATTAGAAAGAGGAAAAGACAACTGTAGGAGGTTCAACAAAATTGACTTTGGAACTTAATAATGCATTTGAAAAAGGAAGTGTACCATTGTGAATAGAACCATTGAAAGAGGTTAGAGTAGGGAGAAAAAATTGTTAAACAAAATCCTATTTTTCCCATCATTGAACAAGCAAGTTCAATATAGATTGTGGAGCCAATGCAAATGTGACAATTGGCTAAGTGTCTAATCAAATATGTCTATCATTCTGGTGGTTTGGAATTCTCTGTGGTCTAAATTTCACATTTTCTCTTTCTCTGGTGTAAAATATTTTTCAACACAGCAAAGTTTCAAGCAGGACTAAAATCAGTCATATGACATGCAATTTTTATAATGCTAAAAGAAAAGACAAGAGCATAGTTAAGATGTATAGAATATAGATAATAAATTGTTGTATGTAGAAGTCCTAGGTATCTTGGATCTACTTTTCAATAGGAATGAGACATCAGTGAAGACGGTTCATAGAACACGATTTGTTCAAGTGGACTGGGATATTGGTACTTTTGAGTGATTGGAGTGTGCCCTTAAATTAAAAGAAAAGATTTACAAGACATTTATAATTGCTAATCTTGGTTTATGGATCAGTGTGATGATTAGTAAGGAAACAACATGTATAAAAAGTTAGTATAGACGAGAAAATGTTGATATGAATCTATGAGATTACTGGAAAAGATAAAACAAAAATATTTTTATTCACAAACAATTAGTTATAGCCTCAGCAGAGAATAAAATGAGGAAAATTTGCTGAAGATAGATTAACATATTTAAAGAAGACATATGGATTCCTGTGACATGATTAGAATCAATGGTACAAGGAGAGACAGAGGGAGACTTAGAAAACTTCACTAGAAACCATTAAAGGGTATTTGACTATTCCTAGTTCAACTAGGGCTGTTACACTACACAACATAAAGAGGTCCATGTTGCAATCCCCAAATAGCCAGGATATTACAGCTTGTTGTTTTTATCATTGTTGTTGAGATTTTGAGGAGTTTGTGCTTCTTTATATTCTTATTTTATAACTTCCATGATATTTTCTTGTTTTTGCTTCCTTTTGTGTATTATTTATTTTAGCAATACCAATATATTCTCTTGTTGAAAGTCTCAAGCTATGTACATTGTCTCGTGATCACTTGTATGCTGGTATAATTACTGCAAAGTGTCTTTCGTAGAATCATAGTTGCATTTGCCTCTATCGTCTGTCTTGTATTTCTGAAGAAAAAATTGCTCTAAACATTCGACTGTACTTGCATATTCTTCTTGCTGATTGTTTGACACATCTGAATTGTCCAGGAACATTTGTTGATAGTTTGCGAACTTCTCAAAGCCAACTTATATGAATTCCACAAGTTCAACAGAGAATCTGGTGGAGAGGTTTATTTCACAATGCCAAGGCTGCAGGTTATGTTCCATACAATCATATACCTAATCTCAGAAAATTCTATCATTGCAATTATTTTCTCCTCTCAAGAATACTGATGTACTATTCACATACCACTTGCAGTCAATTACTATTCAATGTCTGGAGGCACTTCAGTTTCTGCATGGCCTTGGTCTTATTCATTGTGATCTGAAGCCTGAGAATATATTGATAAAGAGCTATAGTAGATGTGAAGTTAAAGTAATTGACCTTGGTAGTAGCTGCTTTGAAACAGATCATTTATGTTCTTATGTGCAATCACGATCATATCGTGCACCAGAGGTTATTTTAGGTCTACCATATGACAAAAAGATAGACATATGGTCCTTAGGATGTATCTTGGCTGAACTTTGCACTGGAAATGTAAGTTATCTATGTGTTCGCATTAATTTTTTTTATTTCAGTTTCTAAAACTTTGAGTCCTAATTTGTCAAGCTAATGCAACAGGCAAACCTACCAATTACTGGTCATTGTGTATAACTACATACTAGAAAGTTGTTAGTTGCTAGCTTTGAGCCAAGTACACCACATGGTTATAATTAAGCTTAAAATAATATGTTCAAATAAAGGCTATTACTGCAGCACCCATACAATCCCACCTGACCTTGTTTGGCCTCCTTTGTCCTTGAAATGCAATGACCTTTGATCTATCCTGCAAATGTGCACATCTTGAATTGAATCATCTTTATTGGTACCCTCTGCTCGATTAGCTGGTGTGTGCAGTTGACCACATCGAAAGCCACCAGGTCACTCCGAACAGTTGTGCTGCATTATTTTCCGATAGTCCACCTATTGTATTCTCTGGTTTTTCATTATATATCTCAAGGATTTTGCAGCAGAAATATATATTTCTTCTGATAAGCAAACAATTAATCATGTTGACTTCACACAATATTATTATTATACATTATATAGCTGCTGTAGCCCTTTCGCATCATACAGTCGGTTTATGTAGTTTACTGCAATGCAGAGATATGGTAAGCCACATCTCATGTCTGAGATCAAGGTTGCAAGTACCTCATCAGCCTTCAAGGCAGTTGTTATCTTGGAAAATGCATTCAAGGAAGAACTACCATTTCTTTCTAAGCTTATCACAAATTCTAGTTCAGTGTTTTGCTCCTTTTGCTTCCTTCAAAGGTCTTGATAATCTACTTAGCAGGTTTGTAAAGAAACCTAACTTTAACAGTCACCATTGTGAGAATTTGTACTTTATAGGCCTTAACTGGTCAAATCTGTGAGATTAAGAATACATGGAACAAGTGCAGAAGCTAATCATTTGAAAATAAGTGAGCTCATCCAAATCAATGATTAAAGTCATTTAAGTCATTTTTTAAATGTGAAATTCCAATTTATAGAGGGTTCACTACGGTAGTGTGTGGGTGACTGCAACAGCTGATAGCCTCATACATTGAACCATAGATTCATCTTTTGCAGTATTTCCTTTATCTAGAACATAGGATAGCTTATTTGGTAACAATTGGCTCCTTTCTTTGTTGATTATAATGTTAATGCTATAGAGGAATGCTTGCGAAAAGAGAGGTACAGAGGTAGGACCTTTCATCTCCTTTTCTCTTGCTTCCAGAAACATAACTCTGTCATAAGCAGATCCACAAATACTGCTGTTGTAACTTGTTACAACCTTGACACATTCTTCCTCATAATAAGAAGATAATCTTGATTCTTTATCCATAGAAAATTGTATTTTATGGGAGTAAGCTTAAGTAGACTTTCTGTGCAATTATTTTGACTCCATGGTGAATAGAATAATTTGTTCATTTTGTCTTAGGTTCTTTTTCAAAATGATTCTCCTGCAACACTACTTGCACAGATAATGGGAATCATTGGCCCCATTGATCAAGATATGCTTGCAAAGGGATGTGATACATACAAGTATTTCACAAAAAATCACATGTTATATGAAAGGAATCAGGTTTGTGTTCTTCGTTCATTTAAGCAGATATAATGCCAGTCGTTTTTGGTACAATAAATATTACTCATATAGATGCATCTACAGAGAAATGACATACTAGAACAAATCCAGACAAATCATATACAATTTCTAGACGTGATATCCAGTAACTGTAACTCCACTTGATGTTTGCGCTATGGATATTGTTAACTTAAACATGCTCTTGGGTGGTGCTTTCATCACTAATTCTCTAGAAAGATATCATTCTAAATTAGTTGGGGAAATCTTCCTTTTATTTTAAATAGATTATAAGAAATAGTCAAAATCTGTTATCATTTTCAGGGTGTTTGTTTAAGTTAGCTTTGAACAGCCATATCGGGCACACGACTATACCCTCATGTTACTAATACTTTTCTTTTGTAATTTCCAGGAAACTAACAGGCTAGAGTACTTGATTCCAAAGAAGACATCATTACGACATCGTCTGCCCATGGGTGATCAAGGTTTTATTTATTTTGTTGCTCACCTTCTCGAAGTAAACCCAAAGAAGCGTCCAAGTGCTTCACAGGCGCTCAAACATCCATGGCTCTCCTATCCTTATGAACCTATTTCATCTTGATTTCTTATGCATGGAATGAATCTTGTTGCTGGAGAGTGTTCTTTTCCACATGATCAACAGATTCTGCGTTGTGGTCCATCCGAAATTCCAGATTGCACAAACACGGCTGCATCATCGTACCACAAAATTTTTAGTGGCCAAGAAGTTTGGATTCCACCGGTTTGCTTCTTCCTCAGGGTGTCACATGTGACAGTAGGTGCCAACCACCCAACTTCGAGCGAAGTTGTGTTGTAATCTAACTTATTTATGTTTCCTTTTGTCCATCCTGTTGTATATTATGTGATTAATATTTTAGGTTGTATGCATTGTTGTTTGTAACCCCCATCACTCACCATATTCTTTAGTTGCTATCCTCAAGAAGCTGTGTACAAAACAATACTAGGGAGCATGGTGTACTATTTTTGGATCCTTTATTTCACTCAAAAATCGTATCGTTCATCTTTTGTGGACTGCACGCCAGCATACCTAAAAGCTGTACATGTAATGAACAACTACTGCTCTCATGACTTCCTCTTTTTTTTATGCTTATCACTCTTTGCTATGGCTTTGAAGAAAGAAAAATTGCTGTAGTGTTTTGAAGCCTGTCAGATATTTAAGATGGCCAACTCTGATGGTCGAGCAGAGTGGTTTTGTTTCATGTGTTGCTGCTTCTCCTCGCCATGATACCCACTCTCACAAGTTAATTGCAGACAACAGCTGCAGTGTGATTTCAACTTACTGTGTGTTCTTCGTTTGTGGTCACTATGTGTATTTTTTCTTAATATAAAAAATATTCATTACATCTACGTCCATGACGTTCACATGTGGATTCAAACATTATATAACAATGTGTTAATCAATTCTGATTCGAGACTCACTCTGTGTATTGGAAGGTGTTTCGTAGAAAACATGAATGATTATATTTGTAGTGTTGGAGAGAGTAAGGGACATAAACACACACACACACACACACACACACATATATATATATATATAT